TCCCCTCGAGAAAATTCAATATCCGCCCCTATGTAGTGGAAGACATTTAGTCAGTCGGGGATATTGTATTTCAAAAATCCATCAGCTAATTTTTTTTTCAAAGAAGGGGATATTTAATAGAATCCGGTTGAGTTGAAATTATTGAAAAATAAACCTTCATTGGTGCATTTGAGCAAGAGAATTCATCATTATAAGAAAGGTTTGTTCAAATTCAGTGAATGAGCATTCGCATTCATATTGAAAATTTTTCTAATTGAGTATGTTGATGAATGAAAGTCAATAATTAAACTCAACGGAAATTCTGCAGTTTTACTTCTTCGAGTTTGTCAGGAAACCTCACTTATATTTTTAAGAATGTTTAACTCAAAATAGAGTGATTCCGTTTTGGGCCAAGAATGTGAAATTTTTCGAGCTTCAACTATATCAGTATATCTGGGAATTTAAATCGTTGGCCAACTAAACCAAGCGTCAATAGAGTAAGTGATCATTTCAAGGTTCCTATAAGTTAGAAGACATATTTTATTTCAAAATCTTATGAAAACCTAGATATGTGATGGATTTCAGAAAGACATTTTTTCATTATAAGCTAATTCAATTGCTTCGTTTTTTTACTCGTAGTATCGATCGAGATTAGATAGCTAAATTTTTTTTTATCACATTTAGATTATGGTTTTTAATTGGTGCTCTCTTCTTCATTTTTTTCCTTTTTTCAGAAAAATTCTTCGCGCGTCATTATTTTTCCAGGAAATGATAAAAGAAACAAAGATGTTTTAAATTTTTTTTTGTTCTTCGACCATATAGTTTCGGTTTTTGTCATATTTGGTAGGAAGATGATAATTTTGTCAGTATGAAGTACAAAAGTACCCAGTTGGTTTGATAGCTAAAAAGCTGTACCTTGCCCTTTTGTTGCAAATATTTACCTATGCGATAAGCAAGGGTATTGCAACCGGGTACTTTAATTTTTTCCCTGTAAATACCTTTGTTCACAGAATGGTCAATCTAGTAGTATACCGTTTCTAAGATCCTTTTAATGTACCTCCTATCTTACATGTACTACTTTTTTTAGGGATTGTAAATTATTTCTAAGTGGTCCATGCAAGTCTTGTGATTGTTATTTTTTTGAAAAAAATTTCGGCTTGTTCTCAGTTTATCGGGTGTCAGCCTTAAATCTGTCGGATTATTTTTCTAATTTTTTTTCTATTTGTTTTTAAAATATTTTAATTTGAAATAGACTGAAATTCAAAAATTTGTTTTCATTGGCTTCGACTTTTTTAAAAACCAAAAGTTGTAAAAAAAAATTTTGGTTAATTTTTCTGTTCACAGGTAGATTTACTCACAATTTTACTCGCCATTGTTTGAGTGGCATGATGTGTTTATCAACTCTATTCTGTTCAAAAAGACCAAACTGTATAACGTGGCAAATTGACCTTTTTGCTAGGTTAATCAATGACCTTTGAATTGTTGATAACTGCAATTTTTGTGCAATATCAAAAGGCGCATTTGGCTCCAACAAATGAACCCTCTTGAAAAATTGAAGTTCACAGAAGCGTTAAGCATACGAATTCAATTCAAACCAACTTCTTAACTGGCGTTTGAGACCACGGCATCTTTGCAGAAGAACCAAAACGGCTTCTAGCTGCCAACATAAAAAGTAACTTACTAACTTCTAAACAATCATTAAATATAAGTTTCAGCGAAACGTTTTTAGAAATCTTTAATTATATTGTTTTTAAGGTTTAAATTTCAGATAGGACGGTATTAAATCATCATTCTAGCAAATAGGAAAAAAATAGAGCAAAAACAAGGAATGGAGTTCGAGAAATTTTTGGTGTTACATGAGTTGTGATGGAGATGGTTCTTTTCTTTGCTTCGTGTTTTGATGTCTTTGAGTAATTTCTTCGAAATTAATTATTAAATCAAAGATAGATTTCGAAGTTGTAAAAATATTTTATTCAAAACGCTCTGTGAGAAAAATTTCGAATGTCCCAATTTTCATTAATAGCAGCTAAATTTTGGCATGTTCACTTGTTCATCATTAATTTACTTCTTAAACTAACTAAGTTCTCGTAACTAACTTTCTTATCTGTTGTTTTGCGTTGACCTTAAGCTCAGCAGGGCGTCTGTGGATCGATGAAAGTTTCAAAATATTCACAACAAAAAATCTTCCAAGAATAATTACGCTTCTAAAAAACGTTTTCTCATTTTATTTTTTCCGCTTTTTAGTTTTTTGAGAAGCTCGTGTCTGCTTTTTTGCTTCTTTTCGCATGTTTTTGAGTTTTTTAATCTGAATGATGCTTGTAAAAGAGTCTTTTCTTTTGTATAGAGAAAAAAATATTAAAAGAAATGTCTCAAAAAAAAGGTACCAAAAGAAAGCTCTTTTCCAGTGCCCCTATGATTTTTATTGTTTCAAGCACTGAATGTGGGCGGAATTTTGTCTTCGGGTTGGTTTTAGTTTTTTTAACACTTCATTCTATTTTATTACCTGCAAAATCAGGTCGCACAAATAAATATCGGAAGGGTTCAGTGATATTTTATTATGAGGCTCTGTAAGTTGCTATTCGAACCATTTGTTAAAAATTCAAAATTCAAATTTTTTTTCAGTGTTCCATGTTGAGAAAAAACCGGTTTGAACTTTTTTCTTTTAAGTCTATTTTCGAGCAAGCAAAGCAATCCAGTATGCTTATTTTAGAAGAGCAAGTCATGAAGATTTTATTCAAAAGCTGAAAACTGAGCTTTACATCAGTAAAATTAGTCTTTGAAGTTTTTTAGAGCCATCTTGGGAATAAAACACTTCAAAAAACTTGATTTTGATGAAACTGACTTACTTCTTGCCCATTTTGCTATTACTATCGGATATGCTTAAGCTTAAGGCTTTCTTTCAGATCCTTACATCACACCGTGCACAGGAAACATAATTTGAAAAGGAAAACTTTTTCGAAGGTTGTTGTTAAAATATGGTCAGAACCTTCTGTGCTGCATGGACAGCAACGGGCTATCCTTGTTTATCATTGTGTTCGGAACTTTCTGTGCTACTTGCGCAGCAACCGGTTTTTCTTGTTGATGTCGGATTTCGTAGAGTCTACTTGAATTGGTATTTGCTGGTATAGTGAATAACTGTACGGAGTTGAAAGTTTTTTCTCTCATTTAAGTCGCCCCATGAACAATGTTCAGGTATAAAAGTCAATAAGAAGAAAATGAAAAAGTCAACTTTTTTCTGTGTTTTCTTTCATTGTTTTTTTTTTCCGATCAGTCTGATCGTCCTATGCCATATGCACATCAACCTGCTTCCTGTTTTTAAGGTTTTTTTGTGGCTAAACAAAAGAAAGGGTTGAATCTGGTTAAGTTTGAAGCGTATGTACGGTGTGGTTTCAATGTGCTTTGTGGTTTCAAAGAATACACTCGTCTACATCAAAAACTTCCTCATTTTGATGATACTTTTCCGCTATTTGATTAACTCGTATGTTGGGTAGCTTGGAGATGTCGTTTTCCGACCATTATTTTTCCTTTGGATTTTTAGGGTAAAATCTTCCATTGGGTGTTTTATTGCTAATCTGGACTAATTTTCAGCTATCATTTTGTTTTGTCCTACTGTTGAGTGCAATCAGAAATTGGAGTTCTAAAGTCTATGAAGCGGGACTACAATCACTTAAAATAGTCACTTCTTCGGTTGTAAAAAGGAAGTAATGAAGATATATTTGAGACGCATTTTCCAACCGATATACTTCTTATACTAGACTTAAGTACTACTTTATTCTCTTCAGCAAAAGTAGGCGGGTGCGGAACAAATTCAATTTAAAAACACAGACAAAATTGGTTGTTTTTTTTCTCTCTCGAGCTGATTATTCCAAATGCACGTGAGACCTGTCCGTTATTGTAATTAAAAATCTTCTTCTCTGTAAAGCATCCGCTTTTGAGAAATTACCTCCTGTATTTTGTATTGATGACAAACAACGGGCAATTCGCAGACTGTCAAAACAGCAGAGGTTGTTTTAACAGAGAAGAGCGTGATAGAGAAGAAAACTAATTTTTAATCCAATTACCAAGCTTAAATGAAGAGAAAAGTGAGAAAAACAAAAAGAACAGCATCACAAAATATACAAAGTAAATGTCAAAATTAACGATATAGAAGTAAAAAGCTACCATCATAAATGCTACAAAATTTGACATTTTCTCCTTTTATGGAAATTCCAATTTTACCATGCGTTATTAACAAACCCAATTACGGCCAATGAAAGTACATTTGTGTTAATTATTGGCGTAATAAATCGGCTGCAATGACAGTTATGTTTGTGGCTTTATCGTGGTTTTATTTTTATCTCTATTTTCCATAGTCTTCATCGTCTGCTTGTTTCATAGAGCTTTGAGGCAGGACGTTTTGCCCATTTAGTGCAGTTTTCTGCCACATTAAATAAACTACGGCTATTGAGCGCTCTTTTTGTGCAGGGTTGGGCTGAGTTATCAAATTGAAGTGAAAGCCTTTTTTGAACCCTTTTTCTCAGAGTAAACGCCCACCTATAAAATGTATTCTTGAGAGATGTTATATGCTCATGTTTTTTATTAAAAAGTTTTGTTATAAGCCTCTTTGAAAAAATGTTTCAATTTACTCTGTATTATGTGTTTCTGTGCAGTAAAAAAACCTCTTATTTTGAAATATTTCAATTTACTCCCTGGGATCCGTTTGTATTCGGAAATTTTAAAGCAACCAAATGAGTTCGGTTTGCTGATTATTTCTCTTTTGTGACTGCAAGCTTATTTTCTGTAGGTTCTGTAGGGCATTACAGCTTGTTAAATTTACAACTAAGTAAGAACCTACACAATGAAAACAGAGGCGATGTTCTTCGCACGCATATCTTAAATTAAAAATCGATTGCCGTTTTCTTTTCCGAAACAAAAAACAATATCTCCTTTATTGTTCCCTTTCCTAGCTTTTACAGTCTTAATTCAAAATTCAGCCTGCTTTTAATTAGCACGAAAAGTTAATTAATTTAAAAAGCATTTAGGAATTAGTGCCACTGCTTCTTAGCAGACGTGTACATTTCAATTGGTTGTTGGCTACAGTTGACGTCAAACACCTCTTCAGTGGGCGGCCGGAACCACATCGATCTTCATCATCCTCTATCAAAGTGTGAGTGGGCGAATCGAAAAATGAACCAAACCGCTGCTGACAACTCGTGATCTCGCTTTGCCTCTGAAAACTGTCGAAATAATTGTCGCGAAACGCAATATACAAGTGGAAGTTGCTAAAACGATAGGTCAGTCATGTTTCAAATCTCAGCCAATTTTGGTCACAATTTTTGCGGTAATGAGAATTGCAATCGGGTACTAGACGTTTTTCCCGTAAATAACTCTGTTCACAGAATGATCAAATTTAGAAACGGTAAATTTAGATTCAGTTCATAATGAATTCTAACTTTTTTGCGTCTCCTGCACTCTTGGTCTGGAGATAACGACAAAGGTTCTGGGGTCGAATCTGACAGGACCTGTTTTTTTTTCAAACGGGAAACATGCCGTTTCAAAAACAAGTTGTCCGCTTATGGTTTCTACATTATAGTTACTTTTAGTTTTCCGATCTATCTCTGCTGATGTTTGCAATTTTACTAACCTTAACTTCGTATATTTTCTTTTTGTTTTTTTTTCGCTTAAAATTTTTATTGTGCCCAAATGATTTCGGCCTATTTTTTATCAGCTTAGTGAGCCATTTTTCGAATCGTTTCGATAAAAATATGTTTTATATGCTCGCCTATGGATTACACAAGATGTTAAAAATCTTAATAGAAATTATAGTTCAAATTTTTCATGACATAAATTTTTTTTCGGCTTTTTTTGTTTTTTTCCTCTTTTTTTGGGCTTGATGGGTTTTGGTCTATATTATATCGGCCTATCGATCTCATGTTGTGTTTTTTGACGAGCGAAAAAAAGTTGGTGCTTGATTGTCTGTGTTTTGAGGGTGATGGGGACTTGATAACTTCTTATTAGCATAATTTTTTGAATTGTTTCGTTTCGCATGTTTTTGTTTTCCTTTTAAAGGTTTAATAGGTTTCGGTCTATCTTATATCAGCTTAGTGGCCTCATTTTGTTTCAGCTGAGTAAATTATTTTTTTTGTGTGTTGAGGGCGAGGGGGACTTTTAAACTTTTCATAGGTCTTAATTTTTTCTGGCTTAAAGGGTTTGTGACAAGGTATTTTCGGCTCTGTTGCCGCTGGGTACATATTCATGTTCTATTGTCATGGCATGTTTTTGTTTTCAGAACTAGCCGCATTCATTTTGATAGATCTATTTTTAAAAACATTTTCGAGTATTTTTGGCTTTGTTGCCGCTGGGTACATATTCGCGTTCTATTGTCATGGCATGTTTTTGTTTTCAAAACTAGCCGCATTCATTTTGATAGATCTAGTTTTATATACATTTTCGAGTCTTTTCGAGTTTGTATCGAAAGTGGTGCGAATCTTAGCTTCCGCTTCTGTGTTGAATTTGAGATAGTTTATGCAATTGACAAACAATACTAATTCACGAAAATATTAATTTGATTTTTTAAACTGAATTGAATAATTTGATGATGATACTTTTGCTTTTGATAGCTGACTTGATGAATTCATCTGAGATTTCGAATAGATACTTTTCATTTTAGATATTTTCAAGCCAAAACTTATAACCATTCATTCTATGAAATAGTACGTTTACAATTTAGTTCGCTTGGGACAATGCAACCGTTTTTTAAGTAAAACTGTGACATTGCATTGAATTGATTTTGAAGTATTGAATTGAACTGAGCTGAAATGCAATCGAGCCGCATTGGGAATTTAAATTATTTGGGTGTCGAAAAAAGTATTCCTTGAAATTTGGTAGAGCCACTAAAATTCAGCCTATTCAGCCGCTAGTAAGCTTTCGGAAAGAATTTGGGTCAATGCGGGAGTTATCTCGAACAGTGCACGACACAATTCTCGCCCTTGAATGTCAGGATGCTCCTTTTGCGCCAAGAAAAATGATAAAAATCTGAAAACTTTTGATTTTTCAGAAAGCTAAGTTGCTGCCTTGTACTTCTTAATTCAAGAATTGAACTGAAATAGAATTGAATTGCATTGCTGAAAGCCCACATGGAATTGGAATTGAATTGATTTTTAAGTTCTCTAAATTGTACATCCTAACTGTACGTTTCAAATTGCCCAATTTTTCAGCCGGCTTACAAATTTTACTACAATTCTCGTTTTTATTAGCCCTAAAGAATTACTTTTTTATTGTAGTTTCTCCGAATTGCGAAAATCTGGTGACGCTTGCAATTTGAATATAATTTTGGATGTGCCACTTGGAATGAACTCGAAGTACTAAATGGAGCTGATAGACTTTTCTTCGCCCCTGCAGAAACTGCAGAATTTCAACTCCGAGGTCAAACTAACTTCAGCTGTCAGTCTCCCGCTGAGGTCACTGAGAAAAGCACACTCGCCTTCATCTGTACCCAGTGGTATGTTACTTCAATTTCAATTTTTTTTTGGTGTTTTTCGTTTTTGAGCCAGTTGAATTTTGATATTTAGCCATTCAAACGTTAGCTCATGCGGTAAAAAAACGTGTTTCTGATTATCAGCTTGACAAATAACACATTATCAGCTTGAAAAGTTTAAAGCTATAATGGGGTGCTGTCAGGATACTTTCAAGAGTTGCAAGTCTTGCCGCCAAATCATTTTAGCTTTCGAGATAAGACGCTTTTTTTTTGGCTTTTTCGAAAAAATTAAAAAGTTAGCTAAATTTGAAACGAGCAATCTTATGGCGACTTGCTGTCAAATTTTTTCAGGTTTGTAAATCTTGCCCTCAAAAATGTCTTCTCACATCATTGTAGCTTCCGAGATATGACATTTGCTTATGATTTTTTGAAAAATTTTCAACAAATTAAATATTGAAAAAAATTCACATAACTTGAAATTGGCAACTTAGTAGTGAGTGGCTGTCAAAGTATTTGTCAGGGTTTGCAAATGTTGCCTTTAAATAGGATTGCTCAAATCATTTTAGCTTCCGAGATGATTTTTTGCTTTTTTTAATAATTTTTTGAAGAGTTTTCAAAACATTTTTATCAAAAAACTTAACAAATTTTGAAATGAGCAACCCTATGGTTGGGTGCTGTCAGGTTAGCTCCAGGGTTTGCAACTTTTTCCTTCAAATATATGTGGTCCATCCTTTTAGCTTTCGAGATGTGATGTTTTAAACAATTTTTACCTAAAGAATTGATATTTCCACAAAACTTAAGTTTAACGAATTGCACAACCTTATAGCGGGGCCCTGTCAGGGTGCTTTCAGGGTCTATTTCTTTTTTTTAAAAAAACGCCGATTGCTATAAAAAAATTTGAATTTTTCCCATCGATTTCACCTTATAGAAAATGTTAAGTTTTTCAAAATCCTAGCTTGTTGAATTGCTTGATTAGATGAATTATTTTTTGCCAATCCTTTTAATATAGGAGCAACTGTAAATTTTTCAACGTTTTATTGCTTCAATGGCTTTCTTAGAAAAGTTTCTCGAACCGATTCCAGTACAAGTATTATAGTTGGGTCCTATAATTTTAGACAGGTCCCTGAATTTTTTGGACCATAAAATCTTCGTAAACATGGTTCGCATTTGTTTACTTTTTTTTTGTTGAAATTTTCACTAAATTGCCTGCCCTAGCTTTCATACTTGCTTTTTTCCTGGGACCCAATTATCTTACTTGTACCCCGGTTCAAGCTAAAAGACGTTCAAAAGTTTTCAAGGATTCATTGTTTTCTGCAAGCTGATTGACTAATGAAGACGTGCATGCTAGTTCAAATCAAACTCTTAAAATGATTTGTTTTCAGCTGCTTTTGCATGCAATAAATCATGTTTTATCAAATCATTCATACAGGTAAAAAAATTGGTAAATAATCTTAACCTTGAAATTTTTCATGTAATTGAGTGAGGTTAAGAAACTGAAAAGATACCAATATGAGACTTTCATTCGCAGGCTAGAACATCCGATTGTACGGCTTATACGATTATAAGTTGTATGATAATTTTCCTTTTATGTAAATACACTGATAGTATCTCAACATATAGATTTGGTATTGGGTTTCTGATTTTGAAAATAGTTCAAATCACGTAAATCAAGGGGGGATTTAAGGGGGCACGCTCTACCCTCTCGTTGTTTCGACCCCCTGACCACCGAAATGGTCCACCTTTATACTACGTTACCACTTACTTTTCGGCCGAACGACCTTGAAAGTTCTCTAGAGGCGCTTTGGTTGTCAAAATATACTATTTTGAGTGGAAGCGCGCGCCGGGGAAAAGTCAGTTGTTGTTTGAAAATTTCCAAAAAACTCTCAAAACCACATTTTAGCACTTTTCTCTAAAATTTTTCTTCCGGTGCAAATATAGTTTTTGCAGTGCCTTGGGATTGCCCGAAAACAGTTTGTCAATCTAATAAAACAAATCTCCCCTCGCGAAAAATATAGATGCAATCCTGACGTTAACAGTACCGATACCTCGACTGATAAGTAACTTGGTTGCTGTGGATATGGCACAGACTGTTACGACCGCAGTAGTTGTTGCCAAAAAGCAAAAAAAAACTATTCGAAAACAAACTGCCGTTTTTTGTTCAGCTCGTTTAATTTTCCCCCTGTTTTCTAGTGTCTTGAAAGGTACTGAAGTTATGCTTCTGGCATTGGTTTAAATAGAAAGTAATTGCGCTGGTCAAGTATAAGTCAATCCGAACAATTATTAATTAGTCAAATTAAGTTAGATGTATCTTCGTCTAAAAACAAACAAATGTTCAGATCAGTTTTTCTTGGCACAGTAATCTTTCTGAAGCCTGAATTATGAAATGTCCAGTAAGATACTGTACTTGAATTTTTTGAGCAATTTTTGAGGCACCTGAAATTGTGCAAACATCGCCCATAGCTTGCTCCCACTTTATTGTGTGGTGGTTATAATGATATGAAAGTCACCCTAATTTAGCAAAAGCAGCCTTTGTAATTAGTACCTATAGCAGTTAAGTTTTTTTACCTGTTTCCTTTGTTCATTTCAATATTTTAAGCTGCGTTGCAATTTCTCATTCTACTCTAATTACAAAATAAAACGAAAACAGTATTTTTTAGATTGTCAATCTGATGCTAAGTCTAAAACTAGTGAACCTTCCCGACTCCTCGCGCGTGGCCGAGACAGAGAACGAGGAGGTGATCCGTCGGATAACGAGAATGAGAACTGCCGACAATCTAGTGGTAAGTTGTTGCTGTTAGAAGCTTTCGGGCCGCAATTTGTTTTATCACGATACGTAAATGTACATTATACTAACATAACTTTGCGAAAGTATAGTATTTTCGAGCGTTCATGAAAAAATTTTCTTTTCTTTTGTATATGAACTGTTGGAAAGTATTAACTTTGCTTTCTTGGGGGCTGGCCGGGGAAGGGGTGTTTTTTTGAGGCCTGGATTGTATCTTTTGCTCGGGAAAATCCCTCACGCGCGAAAAACCGAATACTCGAAAAAATTTTCAGCCAATCAAATTTCAGTGTTGCTAAATCAGAAGGAAATATGCGGTAAAATCTGTCAGTTTAAGTAGGACGCTTTAAAGGCAGTAAATGATTGTTGGTTTTCGTGCAATCGCTCCTTCGTGCAAGAGATTAGCCCCTTGTGATCAATTTCTTAGGTGAAGTGGCATATGGAGAAGTGAATTCGGGTACCAACCTAGGGGGGAGGAGGGAGAGTAGTGCGGCTAGTGGGATCCTGTCCACCTGGGGACTCACCAATGCTCTTATGAGTCCAGTGACGTCACAGTCAGATGACAAATACGTCTGTCCAAATGATCGACAGCTGTCACTCAGAGCCAAGTAAGTCCACACAGCGCCTTCACAGTTGAAGCGTTTTCCCATCACTAGCGAGCATAGTTTTCAGAGAAAAAAATATAAAATGTCAGAGTTGAACATCTATTACCAGAAGTAGTTTTCCGCCGAGACCGGCATCAACATTTGCCAAAATCGTTGTGCTACCTTGTCATAAATTCTTTAGTGAAACCGAACTTGATTATCTGTTATTTTTTCGCATTTCCCCTCCATGAAAGCGCAACGGAGTTTGTTGTACCTGTCGGAAAGATTGGAGATATAGCTTGAAGTGCAAGTTTTTCGAGCTAATTAAAAACTGCCCGCTTAAAACGGGCAAAGGAGTTTTGCTCAGTTCTCCGAACCAAAAACAGTCCCCTAGAACTTTAAAATGTTATGAAAAATTGTACGCGTCAAATTGTTTGAGCTATCATAATGTGATCTTGTTGTTGTTGTTGTTTGCATCAGCAAAAAGAGGAGTCGTACAACTCGTGTCCTCATTTTTATATCGAAAATTATGGAGATTGAATAACCGTATCGTCTTGTCGGCCAAACAGTAACTGTGACTTGCCTAGGGCTCGCTAGGAGCGGGAATGCCTCCATCTGATAGTACTGAGTAAAACCTGTTCGAGGGGACAGTTTGTTGTTCGGAGAGTCAAGCAAAACCCTTGCCTTTTTCAAGCGGGCAGTTTTTAATAAGTGCGGAGAACCGAGAAAAACTCCTAAGGTACCCCGTGATGTTGGTAAGTTGAGCCATTTTGCGACTGCATCAATGTTGTCCCACTGGTCGTCAAGTTTCAGAGATGTTGGCTTCGATAGTCTCTTAAAGAGGTGGGTTATGTCGTCCGGACTATCGTTAGTGTTTGAGCAATTGTTTTTTGTTTTGACCGATCTCGACAGATAGCTATTTGATTGTGTGCTATATCCACAGATTTGAGCAAGAGTACGTTGTTAACTTCTGAAAAGGCTCTTTCCAACCGAAGTTTTTTCTGGAGTTTGAGAGTCCATCAGTATAGAGGGATTATCAATAACGTTTCTCACATCATTTGAATGAGTTGTCGTAAGAGTGACTTTTTATTGATCTGGTGTTATACGATCGTTTTCATCAAGATGTTTTTTGATGTTAACATAGTGCTTCTTAGCAAGTTTGGTTTTAAAAGTCTTGACATAGTTGTGCTTGGTTGTGAGGTAATCACATCTTTCTTGTTAATAGCAGCCAGTTAGCAATTGTTTGCTTAACATTCCATTGTGTGCTTTTGTGACTGTAGATAAGTTGCACAATGAGGTATTTCAATTAGAGTCAATTTTGTGCAGCCAGTTACAATTCTAAGTGCCAAGTTTTGTCGCGTTTGAAGGTGTATCCAACGAGATTCCGAGGTTCACTTATTGAAGATGTTTCGACAGGAGCTGCGTAATTCAGATGGTCTTAAATAATGGTCTTATATGAAGTACTTAGAGTGCTCTGTTGAACCCTCAGCTTGGGCCTGAGAGTTTTTTCAGCAAGATTTTGCGTGTTTGGAATTTTTGACTGTGGTAATGTTTACGAGGAAAGTAAAGAAGTTATCAAAGTTTTCTCCTTAAAGTGGTTTGTTGGTGGTAAGTGTTGGGTTATTTTCAATAATCACATTAGGTGATTCCTAATTTTTCTGTTCCAGTTTTTCATGATAATCGCTGAGGTTTTTTGTGTAGATAATTCAAAACTGAGTTTTTGAAGCCAAACAAATAGAATACTTAGATAGAGTTGTACCTCTAGGTTAAGTTCAAAGGTGTTAGGAAGAAGTGGTGATTTCAAGTGATTTTAAGTGGAATTGGTGAAAAATTCATCTGCTTAACTTGCTATTTTGATGTTTTTTGGCAGATGGAAGGGGCGTTGATGACCTTTAAATATTGATTAGAATAGGCCACGAGACGCCTTCTTGATGTACACCCTGTTTCGTTCGTGACATTTTTTGATTTTTTGTTTCCTAAATAAAAGCTAGCTTCCTTGTTGATATGATGTTATTCATCTTTTTGTGTTGTTTTGAAGAGACGAGTTTTCAAAAGGGTGCTGCAAGATACCGTGATCCACTGTGTCAAAAGCTGCATTAAGATCTAACGCAACTAAGACTGTCCTGTGAGGACTAGGGTGATTTAGTCCGTTTGTTATGTCAGTGGCTATGTAGTGTAAGGCAGTATTAATGACCTGCATTGATCTGTGTTTTCGAAATCCGAACTGCTGATCTGCTAGTGCTATATGGTCGAAATCATCCAGCAACAGTCTTCCAATAAAATTTGCTACTGGGGATAAGAGTACCATGGCTCGGTAAATTTTTGCATTATTTTTGCTTTTTTCAAGTTTCAATAAAAGAACAGTTCGACCGACTTTCCGAATTGCGGAATGATTGAGGTGTTGAGAATGAGTGATATTATTTCTGTAAGGAAGTTGATATCTTTTCTCCGAGATAGTGAAGATGAAAGGGACGTTGATTTCTGGCCTTAATTCCTTGCTTTTCTTGGTCAGTGTAATTTTGCTTCTGACAACCCGTGGGACATTTATGCTAGGTTCATGACGTATTTGTTAAGTCTGCAGAGCGTGCTGCCTCTTCTTTATTTTGCGTGGATGGGCGGCTGAACCTTGTGTTGCTGATTTGACATTTTGGTACCCTTTTTCGAATCATCAGCTGGTTGGTGGTTGAAATTAATGAGTTGGATTTGTGTTTTGTCAGCTGATTTACCCGCTAAACAGTTGATAGTTTTCCATAGCTTGTGCCTATTTCGTTTTTGGGCGAGAGTATTAACGATTTCAATCCATTTATTGCGTTTGCGCCTAGGAACAATATAATTCATTTCTTTGTTCAACTGGGGAAATTTTGGATCACGAGAATTGTTTGATTGAAATTAATCTTCAGTTTTGGAAAGCTCTACAGCTTGTTTTGGAAAGTTTTCTGGTTTTTTTGATGCAGCCATGTTAAATGTGCCACATGGCTGCTTTTATTGAATTGTTTTGCGGAATATAGCTCCACCTTCAGGCACTGATTTGGATAATCTGTATATGCAAGAGCTATTGCAGCCTTTTCACGAAATCTTTTCCAATCTGTTTTCCTAATGTTAAAGAAAAATCTTTTTGATGGTTCAAGAAAGAAGACATCACCAGTTAGTGTTATTACGATTGACTGATTATCCGATCCGAGGTAAGACTCTGTGCTCCAGCTAATGTTCATTGCCAGTTTGGCACTTGCAAGACTCTTCTTTGGTGAGTTTTCCAAATTGGAGATTAATCTATTAGACATTCTTTTTAAGAATACATGTTCTGAGTCATCAATTTTTTTGGCAAGTGTAGTTCATCTAGCATCTTCCTTGAGTTCAGTAAACCAGAGAGGGCTATTAGCTTTAATATCACCAAGTATTAGAAAGTCCTAGAACTTAAGTACTTGATTGATGGATGCGGTGTAACCAGAGTCGCAGCTTGAGTCTGATGGAATTTATGCATTGATAAGGTTTATGTTATTTTCTCCCGATTTAAATTTTGTTCCACAGTTTTGTGTGTGAGTTTTCTTGTTTTCATTGGTGTTCAAATTTTCTTAATGTTGCGCTAACTTCATGTCAAAATAAAATAGTTTCAGAAATTCCAACAAAGGTATTTGGCTCATTGTATTTGCAAATCCTGGATATGAATGTGGAAAAAGTAATTTGCAATTTTGATGTATCGCTAAATTGGCAAAAAAACGTTGAAAATTTCAAATGTTGTGCAAAAAATAAGAAAAAAAATTCATTTCAAAAAATTTCTTTTCGCTTTTGTTTTTTCATTTTTTGAACACAAATCTTGTCGATCATGCCTTATTCAGTAAGTTTCTGCGCGATCGTATAGTTCTCAAATAACACCACGCTCTAAAAACAACACTTTTCGGAAGAAGCGTAAAACAAAAACTTCTTTTTTAATTCTTATTTGAATTTGGTCTGAATATTCTGTGATACTTGCACAGCAAGCGGCTATCCTTGTTCTTTTTATCATCATCAGCAATTAAAGACTCGTTTTTCATCCAATTATTTGACAATTAGCTTTAACTGCTGTAAAGTTTAATACATCCTACCAACTAATGTTTTTCTCCAATTATTTTCACATGGAGTTTGTTTTCAGTTTTTGTGTTTAATTTTATAGACGAAAATCTCTGTTTGTGTTCAAGCTTTTGTTTTAAATATTTTTAGTTGCTTGTAACTTGAGAAATACCTTATGCAGTTTTTGCTGGAGCTTGCGAAGTGTGCAAAGATGCTCTCGCGCGCCAAAATGTGCAAAAATATTGTGTTTTTGGGCCCCACAAAATACGCTCCAAAATGTGCAAAGATATTCTAATTGCAAAATTTTCAATAATACATTTGAAAATTCTTAAGTTTGTTGTTTTTTTTCATAAAAAATTTGTTTTGGAAAGGTTTTGAGGTTGGCCCAATTTGTCGGTTGGAGATTTAATTCGAAAAAAATTTGGTTGGGGGGGGGTGGAAAAATTGAGCCGAAAATCTATTCATATTTGTTTTTTTTTTTAAAAGAAGGTTTGAGACTCGTTGCAGGTCATTCAGAAAAATCAGGGACTTGCCTCGATGCTAGCATATTTTAAGCTTTTTTTTTCTGAATTGTTTGTCAGCATATGTACATTTTGTTAGCTGTTGGTTTTGTCGTATCTGTAGCTTTCTGTATCTGATAATCTGAAAAGTGTTAACAAAATTGCTCGTATCAGAGATCTAAGCCCTGATTTTTCAGATTGCCGATCATTGTCGTTTACACAGTTTTTGAAAACATCATTTGAATAGTTTCTTTTCCGGTTTTTCTTTCGAAATTTTTCCCTACTCGCTATGCCAAGTGCAACAGAATTGAATAACGTATTGATAACAGCAATTATTTTTTGTCTGAATTCGTTTTGGAACGTTTTATGAGCGGACTTTAAAGCCGCTTACACGTCAATAGCATGAATTATTTTGCGCGTCAGTTGTTACAAGTTAGCCAAGTTTGCAATTTTCAAACTTCCTTGATTGTTTAACAA